AACTTTCCCTTGCAGGTCCTGTATAGCAGGTGGCAAATGTGATTTCAACTGAATCTGAAGGCTTATTTAAAAATATTCTCAGTCCAGCAATGAACCAGGTGTGCCTACTACTTAAGCATCAGTTTTTTCAGGAACAATGTTTTGAACCTAAATGACTTGCATGGTTACTAGAGAATGAGGTTACTGATAAAAATTCTTCCCTTTTTGCTGGTGATGGTTTTCGTAGCATATTGTCTTTGCTTAAAGGAAATTTTCTCAGAGGAAACAGATGCTAGGTGCTTATTAGTATGGAGGTTTTAAACATTGAGGGTGTGAACAAAAGACCAGATCATTCCAATGATTCTTTGGCAATTTCTATAGAAAAAAAAAAATACATAAACTTTAACAGAATGTGAATGCCATACAACTTTAAACAATTTATTTGTACGACTTGACATGGAAATGTAATGTTTGTTTCATTTACGTATGGTTTATTTTAGTGATAGAAGCTTTTAAAAATGTTTGACTTTTATGTGGTATCGGTGTCCTTTGCAATTCGGTTAAGACAGGACTATGCTGAGGCTTTTGTTTTGAGCCTCTGAAAATAGTGACAACTTGTTTGCAAGGTAGCTTTATTTTTTCCCTTGGCTTGGGCAGAATCTGTGCACCTTCAGATTGGCACTCCTCCCACGTACTCTTTGAAAGTCTCTCAATGGAAAAATACTTGTCTTGACTTTGTTGTGCAGGAGATGGTCAGCAGTGGACTTGTGTAGACAGGAAGTGAAAGAGCAGTGACTTTCACTATAATTAAATGTTCTTTGACATGATTTGCACTCGTTCCAGCTTCTTCTCTGTTTCTTTCTTTCTTTTTTTAACTAGCTGTGTAATAAAAGCAAAGTCTTTTTTTTCTTTTTAACACTTAGAGTCTCAAACCTAAAAGCAACTTCCTGTCTCTTCTTAGTGGTAATCTGAGTGACTTTTTAAAACTTTAGTATCTGCTGAAGTCCTGGAGAAACAATTGAAAAATTTATGGAAATAAGAATGTTGGACACAGAAAGGACCTTAGAAATTGAGTCTAACCTCTTTCTTTTTACAGAAAAGAAACTGAGGCCTGAAAGTGAGTTGGTGAGACATGCAGCAAGTTATAGGCCACCTCGGGGCCCCGGACTCTCATTACTATGATCCTTCCTGGGGGCCACAGTGACCAAATGGAGTAGCAGTATATGAGAGAGTGGATATTGGGAAAGGAGGGGAGGCTCAAAATTCTGGGACTCCAATTCTAATACAACTTATGTTCTCTTTTCCCCTTAATTTACATTGTAAGCATGCATGTTACCTTATAACTAGGATAGCTGCAGCCTCATCATATTTGAAAGCCTTCCTAGTTTCTATTCTGCACATATCCCTAGCCATTTAGTGAAGGTCCATGCATGCAGGAAATAAGGAACGGCAAAGATAACACTTATATTCTCATTCTGTCATGTGTTTGCTTTTTTTAATTCTAAGAGCCACAGTTGTATAAGAGCATGTTTTTCTATTTTCATTTGTCCTATCATTTTTTTTTGGAGTCTAAATCCTCTGGTTGTCTAAGCCTGTTTGACCTGATAAAGTATATATTTGCTTAATATTTAGGCAAGCATAGGTTTACATGTTTTAAGCCAGTTTATTAATTACTTAAAGTAGTCAAGTTGTCAAGTTGGTTGTAATATAGATTGTCAGCAAGATTTTCCTATTTGAACCCAAATGCTACTATGGGTGAATAGAAAGGTAAGACTTTTTAAGGCTTTTCAAACTCTCAAGAAGTTTTCCAAAGCATATAATATTCCGACATGGCCTATTTTGGCTACATAAAAGAATTGCAGTCAGATATGTTGATTGCTGCATAAATAGGGAAGAATCTTACTTGGTATTTTTTTGTTCTCCTTAGAACAGCAGAGAGACTGGACTAAGAAAGGGTAGTTTATCATAATAGTAGATAGATCAGGACTGGCATCATCCTGTAGTATCCATATACTAAAGTGACTTCATAGCACATCTTTCTTTTTTAAATGTTAGAAATCAATGGAAGTTCAAAGAAGAAAATAGTCATGATCTACATTTCTAGCATCTAAGATGAACCACTCAGCATTCTGATAAGCCTGCTTTTTCCATCTGTCTCTAAACTTTACTAATTATACAAGTGACATGAGTGGTTAGTAAACAATGAGCGCAATAATACAAATAATATTCTATTTTAAATACTTTTATATGCTTATACAAATTTACATAGAAAATATAAAGTATTGTTTGTGAGAGTTTTTAAATGATATTGTATTGTATGCCCAGCCATCTTTATATTCTCTTCCCTTAGCATTGGTGTTTAGCGTCAATAACTAAATGTTTACTAAAGTAAAAATTGAAAATTAGCAAATAAATTGTGTATATACTTTATCCAAATTGAACTTCTGTTAGTTTCTTAAGTAGCTACATTTTACTTTGCTCCTAGGCCTTCACACATGCTGCTCCTTGTGCCTGAAATGCTCGGGTCCCACCTCGACTGGTGTTTCCTTGGGAGACCTTTGCTGATCATTTTCTGATGGAAGGAATTCCTTGCTCCATATTCCCATGGTCCAGGGCTTGGCCCTTTTCAATACTCATTTCCATTTAAAACATTTGTTTAGGGGCATCTTTCCTGGTACAGTGTAACCCCTTGAGAGCAAGGACCATATCTGCTTTTCCACTCCTAAATTCCTAGCGCCTAACTTATGGCCTTGTGCTTAGTAGGACTGAATAAAGGTTTGATAAATTGAATTGTGAGCATGTTTTTACTACTTTGGAATGCAATTCAAGGGGATGACAAAATAACAGTGCTTTCATAGGTCACTACTGCCTCTTGACACCTCCTTCTCTTAGCTCCTCTCCCCTCTCCCGCCATTGCCCATCCATGTCCAATCACGTCATTTTAACCTCCAAAATATATATCATAATCTGCTCATTTTTTTTTTTTTTAAAGTAAGCTCTACATGCAACGTGGGGCTGGAACTCACAACCCCGAGATCAAGAGTCGCCTGCTCCACTGACTGAGCCAGCCAGACGCCCCATGTCTGCTCATTTTATTCCATCTCTGTCACCACCACTGTGGTCCAGCCTACCATCATCTCTTGCTCAGGACCACTAGAATAATTTGGTCTCCCCACGTTCATCTTGTCCCATCCAATGAAATAGAACAAACTAAAATGATAGCCTATTATGTAATAAGAATAAGTAGTTTTGTGAAACTGTTTTCAGTTCTTATTTGCTGCATCGTGAGGGTATATATGTAAGTTGTGTATGTATATGAGTTAGTACTTGAGTACTTGGTTGCTCTATAGAATGTATTTCTTAATGTGGGACATGGTCAAAACAGTTTGAAAGCCATTGTCCTATACTGATAACTCTGGAGAATTCTTTTGCTCTGTCAGGATCAGAAGACTATTCTTCATTACCATGTGACCCTCTTTTGTATGTGCCTTTAAAGGAAGAATTCCTTTAAAATAAAGTGAGAAGTGAAGTCTTTTGGATGAAGCTATATGGAAGTGGTCCCACCCTTTCTTTATATGTTCCTCTGTGTCTCCTTTCAAGTTTAAGTTATATAGGTCATTGGGTAAAATCTTCAGATATGAGTAGTTGGACTGAATTTAACTGTATTTTTTCTGCTTTTTTAATATACACTTATGCAAATAAGTAAATAATTATTTCTGTATTTATATTTACTCATTTTCTCCCTCCCTCTCCCTCTATTGTTCATGAATATATTTTTTAGTCTTTTTCTTTTCCTTCTTATATTCTTATCTATTTTTGGCTTCTTTTCATGTGTATAATATTAATATTATCATAACACTGCTCTCATTGGAAGTGTGACTTTTGGGAACTTAAACATGAAAAGTGTAAACACTGTCCCAGTATATGCCTTTCTGGTATATGCTTGGTGTGAATTGCATTTCTGGACCCTTTTGAACCTGCTCTCAAAGGACAAGAAATTTTAGGTCATCCCTTGGAAGCAAACTGACCTGTAGGTTTAGGGCTAAACAAGCCTTGTGGTTGTGTTAGGGAACTTTTCAGTTGCTCTGATCTAGTTGCACACTGCAAAGAAGGAGAGGTCAAGAGACCTCTAACCTCATCATCCCCTTCACCTCCTCCTTCAATCTTGGGTAGCACATGGAGCTTGTCTAAGTAAGACTGTGAACAAAACGATCATTTATCTTTCCCAACCATGAAGTTTCTTCAAATCTCTTGGACTGTGTTCGACTCTCTTTGGTCTGGTAGTGTAGCATATCTTATCTCTCACTATTTTGTTTTTCATTGCATGAGACAATTAAAAGATTGCTTATCCCTAGAAAAATCTGAAAATTAGGTGGTTACAGGGTAAGTGAGTGCAGCACAATTACAGTGCCTCCATGGTGCTGGGGACCCAGGACCCTTCTATTTTGTTGCTTTGCCATCTTTAACTTGAGATGGCTACTCCTGTCTCTACCACCACTTTGTTATCATGGTATTGTAAAAAGGGAAACATGAAGAGGAGGGCATTCTCCTTTTCAGGGCACAGTGTGGAAATTTATCATTTTTACTCATATGCCATTCATCAGACCTAGTTACATGGTAACACTTAGCTGCAAGGGAGGCCAGGCAGCCCTGTGTGCCTCTGAAACTTGTGTGACTGTGGATGAGAACAGATGTCAGGAGAGGAAGAAGCAGCTCCACTCTAATAGTCAGCAACCTAAAGGGATTTACTCTTGGAATGCTTATTTGTTTTCTAACTTACTGCTTTGTGAAGAGAAAGTTTCCACTGAAGTTATCAAGTGGACTTCAGTTACTGAAAAGAGTTAACCTGAGTTAGTGTGTTTGCCTTTGGGATTTAAGTCAGATTTATTCCACTGCTTATAGGGATGAGTGTGAAAGTTATTAAGAGATGAGGTTGTTTTCCCTTAACTCTTACTTTTCCTGTGCTGTTTTTGTTTTTTCTGTTTTACCTTTTTTGCGGCTAATTTTGTACTTGTTTTCAGGTATGGCACAGTCACAAGGCTGGGTGAGGAGGTATGCCAAGGCCTTCTTTAAGGGCTTTTTTGTGGCGGTGCCCGTGGCCGTGACTTTCCTGGACCGGGTGGCCTGTGTGGCAAGAGTGGAGGGAGCATCAATGCAGGTAAAAACGAATGTGGCTTCGTTCTTTATAGCACATGCTTCATGGTTTCTCATGTACTAGCAGTGGGATTTCTGTATATTATTTCTATGATGGGACCAGAAAAGTTTTAAAAAAGGCCTTGACCTGAAATTTAACTTTACTAAATTTTTTTAAAAGGTCTTTTAATGTGGTCATATTATAAACAGGGTAGAGGTGAATAAACGTAATTATCAAATAGTTCTCTATATCTATAGGTTTTTTTAAGTTTTTGTTTTATTTTATTTTATTTATTTTAGGATTGTAAGTAGAGAGTCTAAGGAAATTTTCCTAAATGACACCATTTTCTGTGGATATGGCCTGGGATTTCAAGATATTTTAATTATCTATATTTGAATCCACACTTAAATATCCTTTTAAGACCAAATTATTAGTTGCAGGATGGGTTTGGGTCAAATTCAGTTACTGTGTGTGTGCATATATATATATACACATACATACACATATATATATATACACATATATAGTTACTATATCTATCTCATTGTCCATATGTATATCAGTTGTATATATATGTACACACACCCAAAATATGTATATACATATAAAAAATATACATACTATATGTATACACATACTCAAGTGTGTATATATACATAAATACACATATGTATTCATGTATATATATGTATGTGTATATATGTATGTATGCATATGTGTATAAGCATATACACTTATAGTAGGTAGAAAAGTCTAGAGCACTGGTCCCAGATTTTCTGGGTGTGTTCTCTAAGCATGTTGCTAATTGAAAAGATTAAATGCAGTTTATATTGGAAGAATTTTGCAGTGGAGATTTCCAAAACTTGTATGCAAATAGTCTTCTGGAATAACTTATAGAAGACTTTGTTGTTCTAAAGTAGTCTTCTGGAATAACTTAGAGAAGACTTTGTTGTTCTAAAACTGATGTCTAGAACCTAGCCATGTGAGTAAGTTTATATAATTAAGAAGAGTTTGCATTTTGTGATATGATTTGTTTTCTTCCATTATGAGCACGTATTAAGTTCACATTGTGCTAAATAGCTGTATAAAACAAATAAGTAAAATGAGTATATAAGCTTGTAAGAGCTTAAAGTTATATAAAGAATAACCATTTTGTTTTTCCTTTTTTTCAGTCAGAACTAGTTAAGGGCATAGGTATCAGCTTTGAGGAGTTAGAATGAGTTTGCTTTTTTTTTTTTTTTTTTAAATTTTAAAAAAAAATTTTTTTTTTTTTATTCATTTGAGACACAGAGATACAGAGAGAGAGAGAGAGAAAGCATGAGCAGGGAGAGAGGCAGAGGGAGAGGAAGAAGCAGGCTCCTCGCTGAGCCAGGAGCCCGATGTGGGGCTCGATCCCAGGACCCTGGGATCATGACCTGAGCTGAAGGCAGACGCTTAACCATCTGAGCCACCCAGGCGCCCCGAGTTTGCTTTTTTAAATGTAATTTTTGTATTGAAAATCAGATCTCTTCCTGAGTTCTGGTAGTGAGTGCTGTTTTGCTATACAACCATTACTATTCCGAGATAGATTTTTCCAGGACACAAAGCCTTCTTACCTTGGAACTGATGATATTCCAGAGGATCGTATGGCAATCATAGTATCCTAATCGTCATGTTTTAGCCCAGTATACACCCACTGAACATCTATGTTCATGATTTGTGCTAAGAGGGAATTCATTAAAAAAATATAAGAAATTGATTGTCTTATGAAAAGACAAGGCTTATCCCTAGTTAAGAAGGCAGTGAAGAAAGTGTTAAATAGTGTCATTCTTAAATGCCAGTCTGTTAACTCAGATTTTTTGCTGCAGCTACATTTGCTGCAGATACATTTCTTACAGTGTTCCTGGACCCTACTCCCAAGAAGTCAAATTTGTTACCTTGTAGTTTGTTTGGTATATTATGTAGAATTTCCTTGGCTACTGATGACAGGAAAACAGCTTGAATTGAGTTAGATATACAGGAGAGTTTATTGGAAGGCTTATTATGTACCCAGGAGGAAGGCAGAAGTGTGACAATCATCAGGGACAACTGGTCCGGGGATTTGGGTACTGCAGGGTGCTCCGTCTTCTGTGTTTCTGCCGTCTGTTTCTGTCTGCATCTTGGCTTCATTCTCTCAAACTGGCTTTCTCCACCATGCAGGGCACATAGCTGCTTTAAGATGCCTCATTTCATCACCAATTGAGAGAGATTTCTCCTCTTGCCTTTATTTCACTTTGAAAGATCTTGGGAAAAGACTGTGATTTATTGTTTCAGTCACATGCCATTATCTATACAAATATAGATCAACTTTCACCAATGGGTTAGAGTGCCATGCCCAGCTTCAGACAGGTACACACCCCTAGCCTGTGGCTAGGCTCAGTAAGAAAATGACGGTATATATTTGAATCACATTGTTCCATGGGCCTTCAGCTTTCAGGGTAAGTTAGGGGTGACATATCCCAAAGAAAGTGTATGGTATTTTCAGAATAAAAGAGGAAAGGATATTCTGGGAAAAAAAATAGAGATGTATGGTTTTTACAGTTGGGTCTGTATTTTAGGATTTTTTTGACTCCTAAGTATAATAGAGAATTTATTTATAATTTCATGAGATATTACTAAAACATACTTAATTAGGAGCAGAAATTGCGATCATGGGATATAGTGATTAATTAATGAAGCATTTTTGAAGACATCTTTGCTACTGTACAGCTTTGATGAACTGGACATGTTTAGACCATGGGGTTCAGCAGAATTTTTGACCAAAAATTTGACAAAAATTCTTGTCTTCAATTTTCTGTAATGACACAAGAACTAAATAGCTTGCAGGGTGTGTGGACATCTCTGGAAGTCCCCGAGCATCTTGCAAGGAACACACCTGCTTTTATTGACTGTGAAGCCTGAGAATTATATCTGGTATTTGGCAGCTGGTTGATTTGTTTTGAAGGAAGGGAGTTCTCTGGATGTGTGGTGATGCCTTCTTGTACCAGGTTTAGAAGTATGAGAGAAAGGTAGAAAAAGCAAGTGGCAAAAAATAAAATGAAGTGTGGAGAAGAAGAGGAAAGAAAGTAACCTAGATTGGTTGGATAGTAGAGGATGTTGGAGAAAATGAGACAACTGGTACAATGAGCAGGAGGCAGAGTGGCACAGAGGACCAGTGTGAAAGAGACTCAAGACAGAAATGTGCTCCCCGGAAGGCGTTGCTAGGCCCCTTTGTGAGACCTCCCTTGGAGCTGTACCCTTGAGTGCTGACACATCTCTGTGGCATGTTTGTGTGTAGCACCGTGAGATATGTCATTCTACATCTTAGTATTCATTGAAGGAATCTGTGCCATTTCGAAGGAATTCATGTTGGTGTAGGTTACCAGTCTTGAGAATCATTCATTGTGTAGTGCTTTAGAATTCCTGTGTATTCAGGTGGAAAGATCATATCTAGTCATTTCTGTCATTTCAAATATATGAATCATTTTGTGACTCAGGAGGTCATTTTGAGATATGGACAATAATGAAAAGCAGTGGTAACTTTGAGCTGGAATAGGGAATCATTTATCAAATGGCTACGAAGTGTGAAACACTCGTTTAGGTGCTATAGGGGGATGGCAAATAAGGTACAGATTCTGTCTTCAATGTACTTTTACTTTAGTAGAAGAGGTTCAAAGTTATTAACTCAATAATGGATACATTTTCAGACAAGAAGATATCAAGCTGTCAGACATATTTGGCCAGTGCCTGGTACTGAAATGAAAACCGGTTTGCTTTAGCATACTATTTTGGAACATGGACCTGGAAGTTTTAATTTGGAATAGAGTGGTACCAGAGAATAATACCCTGAGCCTTTTTATTGTGGGTCACAGTATTAACTTTTACTATAGCAATAAACTACACTAAGATTTCAATTGCTTGCATTCAGATCATTATTTCTTGCTCATGGGTCAGTAGATTAACTGTAGTCACTCTGGACTATGGGTTTGGTTCACTCCACTTCATGTATCTTTCACTGTGGGACCTACATGGAAGGAGCCATGGCTGCTTGAGGTATGTTCTCACGGGTGATAGCAAGATATCAGAGGGTGAGTAGAAACACTCAGAACCTCTTAAAGCTTCAGTTCAGAACTTCTACTCTTCTGTTCACATTCCATTGGTCAAAGTAAGTCACGTGTCAAAACCCAAAGTCCATGAGATCGGGGAGTCATGGCAAAGTGAAGAGGGAAGGAAGAATAGTGAGTAGGTGAGTACACATACCACAGCCACTATGACTCCAACAATACTTGGTTGACTTCAGAGGTAATCTAAAAAATTGTTTTTCACCTTTGAGTCTACCTACAATGACCCTAGTCTTTGGAGTCAAAGACTGACAAAATTGGAATAGATTGAAATTTTGAGTCACTGAATTCTGGAATGGGTTGATCCATTTTAGATGTCTTTAAGTTGGAGTCATCCAGGGCCACTTGGATCATCACTTTAGAGTGGCTTTTCTTAGAGGTCACTCTGCAACTTGTAGACATCTTACTTAAGAAAATCCAAGGACTGAAAGATCAAATCTCATTAAAGAGAAATATAATACCAGTCTTTTGGAGTGTACTGAATAAACGCTGTTATAGCAACACTGGAAATTCACTTTGGTAGCAAATTTTGCATGAGAACTGTTTTTTATGTCTTTTTAGAATTCTGCTGGCTTAGGATTTAATAGGAGAGGCTTGTTTCCAGGATTCCCTCTTACAAGAAATCTTTACTTTTTAAAAAAAATTTTATTTTATTATGTTAATCACCATACATTACATCATTAGTTTTTGGTGTAGTGTTCCATGATTCATTGTTTGTGTATAACACCCAGTGCTCCATTCATTATGTGCCCTCTTTAATACCCATCACCAGGCTAACCCGTCCCCCCACCCCCTCCCCTCTAGAACCCTCAATTTGTTTCTCAGAGTCCATAGTCTCTCATGGTTCATCTCTCCCTCCGATTTCCCCTCCTTCATTTTTCCCTTTCTACTATCTTTTTTTTTTTT